CACACACATTCTCCCTCTCTTTCTCTCCCTGTCACACGAGACACATTTTTTCCAAGCTGAATTTTTTTTTTAATTTTTCTTTTTGTCCCCTTTCTTGCTACGGATGACGAATACTCAAATAAAACAACTATTCGATAAATAAAATAACGTAACCAAGGTACGGCACGAGTAGATCTAGCCGGTTGACTTTTTCTTCCAACCAAGCCATTGATCCAACTTGTGTGGTTCCATCGATTTTCAAGCATTGAGAACCCTAGTGGGAAACCAGCGATGAGAATCGAACGAACACGTTCAATTCTAGGCGCACGTGCCTTCTGATTGCTTGATTAAGCTCGTCACTGTGTCCGAAAACACGTCTTCTCTCTCTCTCTCTCTCTCTCTCTCTCTCTCTCTCTCTCTCTCTCTCTCTCTCTCTCTCTCTCTCTCTTTGTTTTCCCCGGGCGTTCTGTGTCAAAGAGAACGGTTGCCGCACGAACGCAACGGGGAACTTCGCGTGCGGAGAAACGTGGCGAACTTTCCTCTCGCCGTCTCTTTGATCGCGTCCAACCAGTTTATTCGCTTTCCTTAACTTTTCCACCGGTCTCCTTCGTTTTTCCTCTTCCCTTTCATCTCCCTCTTTCATCTTTTATCCCTCGTTCTCCGCATTCCAGTTATAATACTCTCGACCCACTCAGAGTTCGCATGCACGTGCCTCTTTCCTTCTTCATCCTCTTTCTTTCTTCTCTTCCCCTTTCTTTCTCTCTCTCTTTCTCTCTCTTTTCTTTTCTCTCTCTCTATCTTCTATCTCCTTTTTTTCTCCTTGGTTGCTCGTTGGAAAATAAAAAAATACTCTGGCGAATCTGAAGCGGAGAACGAACGGAGGGCCCCCGGTTTCAGCATCGTGACGCTCGTGATGCACGGAAATCGTCCCCTTTTTCCGGCTACGAGTGCCATTTAATCGCTTACGTGAAGTATGTCGCAAGCATCGCCACCATCACGATCACTATAGCCTGAATCCTGTACACGTTCCCGCTATTTCCGATCGTGCATACCTCGTCGGTATACGGAGCGCAGTGTACCTGCAATCATTCGAAAATTACGTAAAGGTTAATCGATTTCGAGAAGGATCTCTTTTGCATTCGATATTCGTACACAAGAATTCGTACAGTAACGGTAAAAGTTAAATTTTCAATTTTCTTTCGTTGGAAATTCACATTTTTATTATATTGACATTGTGTATATGTCAATATGATTGTACAATATGTTTTCGAAATGTATTGTCATTCCATAGTGTTTCATATATGCATATCGTATATTTTTCGGTATATTGATAATATATTTTATTTCTTATATTATAACGAAATTATATTATAACGAAAATTATATTATAACGAAAAATCTTGGAAATTAAAAAAATTGTAAAACTTTGAAAATATATAAATATATATTACATAATTTTTTTTTCTGCTCAAAATCGTTTTAAAGAGTGAAATCAATCCTTAAAAATTCGATTATTATTCGATTTTTATAATTTTTTATAAAAATTCGCAAACTATAAGAAATGCAAGAAATTTTTTTGAACAAAAGTTACTTTTTTTTCATAGGAACTATCGCCTGATAAAACATTTATTAATTGTTTATATAATTAAAAAAAAGAAATAAAAAAATGTTTGAAGTTTTTTAATTGTGCGATGATATAAAAAAATAGAATAAATACTTTTTATTTTTAATAAATAAAGCTTTGTTATATTATTTTCGTTGCTAAATTTTCAAAAATTTATATCATATATTTCTGTCTTTTATTAAACATTGGATAATATGGAATAAAAAAAAACTTATATATATAACTATTTTAAAAGATCTTTTAATATAATAATGCATCAAACTTTTTTATATTTTTATACATCAAAGAACAAAAAGCAATAGTACTATAGCCGCTACTAATTATTATATTTATATTTTCACCAATATTGGCTTTCGACAAACTTGTTTCTCCGCTTTTTATTTTAAAAGAATAAATGCTAATTTCAATCTATGTATAGAACAATCTTTATTTTTATCATGGTATCTATGTATAGAACAATCTTTATTTTTATCATGGTATGACCTGCACATTTGAAAAATTAACTGTTTAATAAGTAATTAACAAATGTTTATCTAACAAATGCAGGATCTCAGAATATTATATTATTGGATCCTTAAACAGGTATTATATGGCAATATCGTCTGTATCAATTGTCATGTAGAAATATTTAAAATACCGAAGAAAATCACAAGAATGATGTAACCTTTTGATGTATATGATTTTCACATATAGAAGAAAATTTTCCGATTTTGTTGTATTATATAATTATGACATTAATCTACATGCATAGAATAATATCATTAAATCTGCCATTCATAATCAACTTTTGTCACTAAAATATTACGATGTATTTGCTTACGCATGATATAAGGATGAATATATTTATGAGAATTAAAAATAATTCTGAAAGTAAAATTTGTTTTTTTACAACAAGAATACGGCCATCATGCTATTATACGATGTGCATGTTGCAACAAATTTTTATTACATGTTTACAACATTTTTTTGAAGGATTTTATCATCATAAAGAATAATTTATAATATTATTCACTTACTTGTATGCTTTCATCCGCTCTTTATTCAATCCGTTTAATATCTGATATGTAAAGAAATTAAGAAATTTTACGACTACATTAAAAATAAAAAAATCTTATAAAATAGTTATATATAAATTTTTTTTTCTTTATTTCTTTTTTTTCTACTCAGGAATATTTAGCAATGAAAATCAGCAACATAATAAAGCTGTATTTATTAATAATAAAAAATATTTATTCTATTTTTTTTATATATATTATAATTATTTAAGATGTTGATGAAAAACTTCACGTTGAAAAACAAATTTAAAAAAAGAATTATTAATTTTTTTTATTTGTAATTTATTTTTAATTATATATAAATAATTAATAATTTTACCAGATGATATTCCTTATGAAAAGAAACAAATTTTTCTGTATTTTCTACAGTTTGCGAATTATATATAATTATATATAATGTAAAATCAAAAAATAACCAATTTTCAATTTTGATTTCATCCTCTTAAAGTGATTTTCAGCAACAAAAAAAAATTGTATCATATATATTTATATAAGCATTAAATATCCTCAAAGTTTTATAATTTTTTTAATTTTTAGCTTGGGAAAAAACAGTTAAAGTCTTAAGTAAATAATTTTATTCTATTATATAAGCTATCTTTAGTTTATTCAATATAATGAAAATTTTATATTTATAACGCGCCGTGACCAAAATGTTTTCGTGTTTCTCGTACAATATCGACTATACAACTGTTGTTCAATTCACTAAAAATCTGTCAATCAATACGGAACAATTTTTGTTTTATCTATAAGTTGAATCTTTTGACAATTTTTTCAATTCATCTAGTTTTTCTTTTATATTTTTTCACAGAAAAATGTCTGAAATTTCGAAAAAGAATTGAATACAACAATATCTATAAAGAATTGGGTATATGCATACATCAAAAAAATATTATTATTTAAAAATTATTTCGTGATGTTTATAATAATAAATCTTCTATTCTAATAAATATGTTTAAATTTAAACGTTATTAAACTTAGTCTTAAAAATTTATTAATTAAATAATTAATCAGTATTGAATCAATGATTTTGCAAATTTTTAGATTATTTTTATTATTAAATTGTTAAATATACAAAATTATTTGCCTTCTTTTAAAATTCTATTTATAAAGTTCTATTTATATTATAAATATAATCATTCAAATTTAAAATTTATCATGTATTATTTTATAACGAAATGCATTTAACCCGATAATTCTGATTTTAATTAAAGTTTGAATACATGTAAAGTACAATGAATTTATATTTTTAAGATTATAATACAGTATGGAATATTTTTGATGGAAAATCTCTTTGAGACAATAAAATCAATCTCCAAACTCTTTCAACATTTTTTTTTTTTTCGTGTTTCGATATAACTTTGTGTGAGAATTTTTTTTTCAACAAGATAATAGAACACTAAAAATTAAAATATTTTTCAAAAAATTTTGCTCCCTATATCAAAGATGATATATTTAAAAAAAACACATCAAAACTTTGAGCGTTAATTTCACCTCTATAAAGCGATATTTTGTTAAAAAAAATATTATTCTATACATATATATAAATTATTATGTGCTGAATATTTGAACAGAAAAAATTTCACCGTTAAAAAATTTTTCTGTTAACCTCTTTTTTTTTTGCAAATATTTCGAAAGTTAAAAACGTATGGCAATTCGTATGTATAAAAAAAATCTTATTTAAAATTATATCCTCTACGATATATTTAAAAATTATTAAAATCAGTTAGATATCATTTTTTATAATTACTTCTAAACTATATTTTAATCGATATTTTTGTATATTAACTTTTGTATTTGTTTTGATTTTTAGAATTGACTTTACAAAGATATCAAATTTTTTATTTTTTAATATTCTTATATATATATATATATATATATTATAATATCTTTAAATATTATAGCATAAAATTTCGAAGAACAATAATCATGCTGTGAATTTCTGCTGTTTTTAAAAAAATTTAAAAATGCAAAAGTTACTAACATTCAAAAATAAAGAAAACTTATTACATTAATATCTTACCGCAAAAAATATCTTTAATTTGATTGCACAAATATGAATTTGAAAAAACATTTATTTTATACGTAATAAACTATACATGCAAGAACATAAAAAAAAAAAGAACAAACAATTCGAAGCATAAAAAAAAAATTGAAAAACTTGCAGTTTTTATCGATTTTATTTTTATAAAAAAATGGAAAAACATTTTTTTCCAACGGTATGCAGTATGTCCGTGTATTTCTCACTGATTTAAATCGGTAAATATATATTTTAAGCAATTTCGACATAGCTGAAGGACTACACGATGGGATGTACGTATAGCTCGTTACGGTGACAACAAATTCTGCCGAAGCAAAAGTGGTAAATATTTACCCTGAGAAGCGAGCTCGACATTCTGTCAAGGAAATCCTTTGCAAATCGAGCTGTGTCATCGCCACATTGTCGGCGGACCGTATGGTGTGAGCATTCCAAAAATTCCTTGAAGCCACTGCAACAGACATATTCAATTCTTAAATCGGTTATTCGTATTACAAACTTCATATTACAAACTCGATTAACAAAATCTGGATATATATATACTATCATAGAAACCATTTCTCATGGAAAAATCTCTCGAAAGTTTTTTCGATAAGAATGATAATGCATTTTTTTTTTTTTTTTAATTTTTATTTTTGGCAGATTGTCATATGTCAGATGATCATTATATCATATTTTTATTATTTTTGTTTGTTTATCATTATTAAGATCAATGCACAATGGGATTTTATTTTTATCAAAAACTGATAACCGATAATTGAAAATTAAATTAATCTGATTCTCGTAAATTTGAAAATTTATATAAAGAGAATTTTATAATAGAATTTTTTAAAAATTAATTTTTTTAAAAATAACAGATATCCAAAATATTTAAATAATATTTAAATTAAATGTAGGAAATAAATCAATAAGTCTTAAAATCAAAAACCAAAATGGCAAAATTTCTACAGAAAAAGTAATTTATTGTTGATGTTTTTCATTTAATATTAAAATTTATTATGTTAATATTTATTAAGTTAACATTAAGATGAGAAATATAAGTTTCATATATAATAAAATATTAAAATAGCAAATAACAAGAACTTTATCATTCAGAAAGTTTATCAAGAAAAAATTAAATCAAAAAGAATTACAATATCGATAAAAAGAATTAAATTATAATTTTTCAATGTTTAAAATTAATTCATAAAAAATATTAAAGTATTAATACTAATTTGTGATACTTTTAAATTATCTACAAACTACTAAGATATTAATAATTAAAGTAATTTTATGGTTCATGCATTTTCATAAATTATATCTTCATGTCTAAATGATAGATATAATTCAGAGAGATAAGCATACACGTGAATATTAAAACTCCAAAAGCGAATCGAGAGATCTCTCGTCCTCGGAATTTCTTTGACACTCGTCTCTTTTTTATGAACGAATCTTGTTTTTCTTTCAATTTTACGGCAGAACGAAATGCAACGCGCGAAATGATATTACGTTCTGCAACGAGTGCATCTCGAGTGAAACGCATCATGGTCGTGATTCTTGATGATAAAACAAATCGGCAGATGCGTTTAATCTATTTCCATCATTGAATCAATGTTTAATTCATTTTGCATTACTTTTTGAAAGAATATTTTTGAAATTATTGAATTAAAATTATTTTTGAATTAAAATTATATTTGGCAAAATTTATAACGTAAACTGGTAAAAAATAATATATATTTTTTAAATATTAAATTTTCAAAAATTAAAATATTAAATTTACATACATTTAGATTATAATATAATAAAATTATATCGATTATTTAAAATTTTTATTCAAATAATCTGAACACAAAATATTTAGTATTTAAACTATTTAATAGATCTTAATTTTGGAACATGTACTTATCTTGAAATAGTATTTAAAAACAATTAATTTATTTTCTACAAATTTGAATTTTTCTTATTAAGTATTTCTGTAATAAATATTTTAAAATTATTTAATTTTTAATTATTTTATGATGTATTGATAAATCTATGTATTTTATATTTACATCATTAGATCTCAAAAATTTCAAAAATTATAGAATTAAAAAATTTAAAATATTGTTATCGAAAATATTTAATCGAAACGAAACAATTTGTATTCATTTAATTTTTAATACAGTTAAATATATTATATAAAAATATTAATAAATATTAAGCGATAAAATAATTTATTTTGTTAATTTTAACTTATGATAAGCTAAACCATGAATTCATTTAATTTTGGACTAATATAATTAAAATAAACATAATTTTTGTCAAATATCTATATGATATTCATATGTATATTAATTGATAAAATATGATTTATTTCATTAGATATATCTTTAAAATTTTTTATCAATTATTAAACTTATTTTTTAATATATTTTTTTAATATAAAATTAATATTTATTAATGTTGAATTAATTAATTTTTTCCAATATTGAATATGAACGAATCAATGGAATTCACAATAAAACTGATGACTGATATAATTATTTATATCAGATCAGTTAAGAGAATAATTATTGAGATTTAAGATAATTCTAAAAAAAATTATATGAAAAATAAAAAGAAATACAAGAGTTTCTTTTTATTTTAAATGGAATATAAAATCAATTGTATATTATTAGTTAATTATTTTTTAAAACTGAGAATTTTTTTCTATTTGATAAAAAACAAGGATATTTTGCATGATTTTCTTATTATAACAACATAATGATAAATAAAATTCTCTCATAAAACATAATAACTAATAATTTTAAAATAATATAAATTATAAATAAATAAAAAAATATAAAAGAAATAAATAATATAATACAATATAGAATTATTTTGTCATAAATATATTATGTATATCTTTATAAATACATGTATTTTAAATTAAGAGCATTTATTACGATATTAAAAATCCATCGTATCTGCCATATAACATATAACATTTTTGCAATTTTCGCCTGCAAAAAGAAAGATACATTTTCGCATAAAATGTGGTGAAAAGTATCTCATGCGAAAATAACATCAACAGAAAAATTGCACGGAAGCGTATTTCAATTTTAATTAAATGTATTTATACGATTTTAACTGAAAAGTCGTTAAATCTTTTATCACTTTGCCACGAATTTTCAAATTTTATTTCCTTTCTCGAAGAAAATCGATCAATACGTAAAATCCTGCATTTTCCCAACAAAATATTAATTATAAAAATAATACATATAATATATGTGTTTAATTATTTATTAAAAAAAAATATTCCTTATCGATTTCAACGATAACGAAATATATTACTAAAGACATGATTCTAAACAATTTTTCCCTATATATGTTAATCCGCTGTTCGATCTTAGTTTCCAAGTTATGATACATTTGTATAAAATTAAAATTAAGTTAAATTTATATAATTATAATGTTATAATTATATAATTAATGTTAAATTCATAATACTAATATTCATAAATCTAATACAGATTATTATGTTGTATATGAAATTTTTATTTGAATGATTTACATCGATTCTCATATTATAAACAAAAAATAAAGTTAGATTAGTTTATTATATCCAACTAATATGCAAGGCATACGTTGTTATAATTATAAAAATTATAAAATATTATAAATATTATAAAATTATAAAATTATATATAATTATAATAATTATAAAAATTATAAATTATATTATTATTATAGTTTTTTGTAAAATATTTCGCAAGCATCGATAATATGTATAGAGAATATGCTTCAAAATGTTAAGCTTAATAATATATTTCAAAATCATTAAAATCCTTTCGTAAATAATTATCGAAAAAATTCACTGGTGATTGTATTATAATTTCAAGATTAACATTTTACTTAAAAAATTCAAAACTCAAAGAAAAAAATTTGAATGACAAGGAATACATTGATTTGAAAACGGACTTACACGGACTTACAGGTTAGTACAATACATCAGGTGTCTGCAGTGTTATAAATCGACGTCAAAATGAGACATGGGTAATTCTTTTGGTATAAAACTTCCTATCAGAATTCCAGAATACTAGACAGTTATCATTTATCAAAACGTAATAGATAGAACGTTAAATTCCACTGCTTAAAAGTATTATTGATATATAAATAAAATTTTTGATATAAATAATTCTTAAAATTATATACTTAGGAATAATTTTTAAGATTTTAATTTTGTAATAATTTTGATAAAATAACAAATATTTGTATTTATGATTATAAATATATATTATATCATGTTATTTTTTTAATTATTATTCATTATTCTTTTAATGTTATTTATATTAACATACAATTTCTTTTCAGGTTCAACTTCATATCTTATATTCGAAAACAAATTTAATTTTTTTCATAATTTAAATAAAAATAATAACAATTTAATCGAAATAATTTTCATTCAAATTATTTTTATTGAAATTTCTATACTAATCTCTTCATTAATTTTCTACAAAAAAATATTTAAACTCATTCAAATTATAATAAGTTGTGACAAACTTTATATTATTCATGTATTTTAATGAAAACAAAAAAAAATTAAAGAAAGAAAAAAAAGAGACTTGCGCATCTGTTTTTTTTTCCAGTTCGAAGAGATTAAAGTTTCAACTGAATGAAGCTCGTTTACGAATCCAGCAAAAATGCAAAATATTAAAAATCCCATCTCTTTTTATTCCGCTTTAATAACAAAAATTTAAAAATCTTCTAGTTCAACATTGCAGATGGAATTTTATTATTCAACTTAACTTTGTTCAATAATAACAATGAAAAAAATATAACGAATGAAAAAGTAACAAAAATATATAAAACGAAGAATTTTAGCAATTTATAGATTGGATAGAGAATCGTTTGATATCCTTGATGAAGAATATTGGAATTCGGAAAGAGAGAGGGAGAAGAAGCGAATGAAACGCAATGTTCGATACGTTCATTCACATCGTAGCCGTTTCGCGTTCGTACTTTTTTTTTTTTTTGTTCTTTTATTT